CAGATACTATCTGGGAGCTAAATTCTTTTAAACTTCCTGATCTGTCATTCCTATGTTCAATCTGTAACTGAGAAGGATGGATTTTTTTTTTAATGTTTTCCTGGTATCTATTACCTTCTATTTCCTATCCCTTTGCCTTAACAGTAGAGTTTAGGCTCTCATCAGTCATGCATGCATTACTCTAATAGCCTCCTAAGCTGGCTTCCATCCACCTTCCTCTAATCCATTTGTATATGGGTTAGTCACTTTCCCTGAGGCTCTTATGTATAATTGTAAATAATGAAATATCTAAAGAATTGTGAAGGTTAAACAAGATCCATTTCATATAATTATCCATGATATCAATAATTGCATATTAAAGTCCTATTTAAATGTAAGCTACTATTGCCTAAGATTTATGAAAGCAGATACTACAACTTACATAAATCTTACATTTATTTCCCCTTGGCTCTATGCAAGGAGCATGTGCTTAAATACATACTTGGTTGATTTCTTGTACATTTTCCTCAATCCCACTAATATTACCTACTAAACCAATCTAATAGATACAATCTCCTATACGATAATGTCTGAATGCCAAAGCTTATGGTATAATTATAGCAGTCTGCATAATTAAAGTAGAGACGTTTCTAATGAAAACCTCTACGTTCTGCCACAAAGAACCTCCTGGTATCTCCTAACATTATAATGTCCTTTCTCTGGTTCTCTAACTGGTGAACTCCTATCCATCACCCATCATAATGCAGCCATCCATACAATTATTAGGTATCCATAATAATTAAAAATAAAAATTAAGGAAAAAAATGCAGCCAACATGTCACCACCTTGGTATTCCTCTTTCTTCTACCTGCTTACATCTCATATTCCTATAATCTTAGTGACCCCTCTTCGTTATAGCATTTACTTCTCGGTTCCATAATTACTGGCTAGTCCCCAGCCCCCATGTTTGTGAGGGAGTATATTTCAGGATAACCAAAGAGTTGATAAGGGAAAGTTCTTTAAAGAATTCCAGCTGACTAATGCAGAAGAAATTTAAAAATTTGAATGCAACCATTTTGCAACCCCTTATGAAAAAAATGACCAGGAAATAATCATCAATGGATGACCCAATGGTGGTTCTAAGTACAGGCTACACTTTAAATCACTTGGGAACTTTTCAAATATACCTCTGTCTAGGTCTCATACCCAGATATTATGATTCAGTTAGTCAGAGGTGAAGTCCCACTAATAGTTTTAAAAGCTCCCCAGGTTATCCTGATATGCAGCCAAGGTTAAGAATCACTGCCCTAAAACTACTCAGGTAGATGGTTGATGGAGAACTTCTAATAAGTGAGTGAGGATGAAAGCACTGAATTCACTGATCAAACGTATGGTTACTAAAATGAGGTGATAAAAATGTTCTAACATTGATTGAGGTGATAGTTGCATAACTCTTGTGAACATACCAGAAAGCATCGAATTATACACTTTAAATAGGTGAAATGTATCTCAATAAGGCTATTAAAAAAATAACTTCCAGATAAATTTTGATCTTTATGCATACACAGATTACAGTGTTTTAATTCTTTTGATTTTATATTTCTATATTTATATTTCTACCTCTTTTCTCTTACATAACATTGTTTTATCTATAGCTACATCTATACCTATCTGTAAAACCAGTATAAGATAAATTATACATACATAAATCATCATTTCCTACTATGTACAGTTGACTCTGCTTTTTTTTTTTTTTAAACGTAACATTATATCCTGGACATCACTGTATAGAGATATTCCTTGTTCCTTTTTTTTTTTTCTAAAGTACTCCATTATGTGAGCCTCAACATCCAACGTATGGATATACTATAATTTTTTGGCACAGTCTACTACGAATAGACATACAGGTTTTGTCTACAACATCACTGTTTGATATTATTACAAACAGTGCTATCTTTTCATATTTTTCCTGGTGTATCTTTAAGATAATTTCCTATATGCAGAAATGCTGTGTCAAAGGGCAAACTCATAAGTAATAGTTCCTGATTTTGCCAAATTCTCTTCCATGAAGATTGTTCCATTTTGCATTTCCACAAGCAGTGTATGAGAGTGCCTAAGTCTCTACAGCCCAATCAATAGAAAATGTGCCAAACTCTTGGATTTTTGCCAACTTGGTAGGAGAGGAATGGTATATCTTGAGTAGTTTTAATTTGAATTTCTCTCATTATGAGTCAGATTGAGGATCTTTTCATATGTTTAAGGGCCATTTGCATTTATTTTTATAACTGATATCTTTAGTCCAATTTTCTATAGATTTGTTGTTCTTCTAAGAGCTTTTTAAATATTAGGGATAACAAAAAGTTGCACATTTTTTTTCCAATTTGTCTTTTTATGTCTCAGTTTTTCCCCCCCAAAGCTGTTTTTATTTATGTAATCAATATTTATCAATATTTTCCCTTATTGCTTTTGAGTCATGGTTAGGAAACATTTTTCTCATTTCTAGGATATGTAGGAATCACCCATGTTTTCCTCTATTATTTATATGGATTCACCTTTTTGATTCATTTGAAATTTATCTTGGTGTATGGTGTGAGGAATGAAATAATTTTTAACTTTTATACTAACATATTTGAGGAAGGCTTACTTTGCTGGTTTTACAGTCTGTGCATATGTTTTTATTCACTCACTCATTCTAAGGAAAAACATCATGCATTACTCTAAAATGGTAGGGAATTTTATATTCCATTTCAGAAAATAAAAAGTTCCATTTTCACAGAATGAAAGTCATACTAGGTAGGACCTTTTGTACTACTAACTACTAAGAAAGGTTTTCTGCATTTTTGCAACTATTGGAATAAACCACATCCTTTTTCTAGCTGTGCCAGGTAGGATAAAATTAAACCAAACATAACCAATTCCTGGTTTAAAGACACTTATTAAAATTAAAGTTAAAAATTATAAATTAAGACTAAACGGGAGGCTTAAACAGGGTAATGCTCAATATCTTTTTAACAGAAATTTAATCAGTATGATTCTGTGGCTAGTTTTTGTTGCCTTGGAAAAATAAAAATAATCCCAAAGTTTCTGAGGTTCAATTCTGAAAACACATTAGGAACATCATCTATCATTATTGTTATTAATTTTTAAATTAATTCTTTCTCACACTGATATTATACAATCAATGTATACTGGTATCTTCATGAAGAAACTAAATGGTTAAGTCAATAGCACAATTAGGACTCATACCAGCTAGAAACCAATGCCAAAGCTTATTTTGTTACCTGGAGGAAAATGTACAATACTGCAAATACTTTAAGTTAAACATTCCCATCTGCTGTGTTGTAAGTTCAAAAGAAATTTTCAAAAAGAATAAAAATTTCTAGATGAGCAGACTGTAAATGTCAGGTCTCCAGGACAGCAGTGTCTCACTCCTTCACTGTAATGACTCAAGCATATAAGGGTTCATTATTCAATAATGGGCTCTACTCTCATCCATAATAAAGAGAGTGAGGAAAGGAATAGATGATAACATCAATGGATAACCCATAGTCTCATTTGGGACACTGGATCCAACCTTTTTTTTAAATTTATGTAATAGCAATAGGTTTGGCCTTAAGCAAACCTTAAGTTTGCCTTAATTTCAACTATATTACGAGAACAAAAACATGGTCTGAATTTCAGCTCTTTAAATCTCTCTCTCTTTCGGGGAGTGAGGTTAATGAGCTGGGAAATAATCATAAAGTAGCAGAACAGATATAGCAAAAGTCCTAGATGACATATTGGCTACTAAAAATCTTTCTTTCTTATGTGTATATGCACATATGTATGTATGTATATATTTATTATTTACTAGAGACAGGGTCTCTTTCACCCAGGTATGTATGTATATATTTGTTTATTATTTATTTATTAGAGACAGGGTCTCTGTCACCCAGGGTGGAGTGCAGTGGCATGATTACAGCTCACTGCAGCTTGAAACTCCTGGGTTCAAGTGATCCTCTTGCCTCAGCCTCCTGAGTAGCTGGGACTACAGGCATGTGCCACCATGTCTGGCTAATTTTTTTTATTGTTTGTAAAGACAGCATCTCCCCATGTTACCCAGGCTGGTCTTGAACTCCTGGCCTCAAGGGATCCTCCTGCCTCAGCCTCCCAAAATGCCAGGATGACAGGCATGAGACACCCCACCTAGCCTGAAAAACTATTTTAGACATGAAGTCACAGCTCAGAGTTTATGACCTAAACAAAGTTAACAGGTTCATTTCAGGCAAATGCTCTGTCCAGTATACCATTCTACTTGTCAGATTAGGTAACAGGAAAAACGTAATGTTCCAGGCTGGAACATTATTACCTTCTTGCATATAAAACTTTCCATAAAAAATTCTGTAAACATCATTTATAGGTAAGTGACAAAAAGGATAATTCTACTATGCGATCTATGCTAAATATATCCAACATTTCACAATCATAATTTATACCATTTCAGAAGGGAAAACTGAAGCTAAAGTCAAATTTAGGTTAAAAAAATACTCAGAACCTACTATGGATCAGGTACTAGTACTGGAGTGAAAGGATAAATTACTAAAGCAAAGTCAAAAGCAAGTATTTCTATCCTTTGGGACTAAATTTGCTTGGACCATACACCATATTGAAGAAAGTTAAATTTCAGTGGCCTCCTAAACAATTATTCAATATTTTTGATGAAAACAACACTTCAGAGAGTTTTTCCAAAATATAATACAAATATCTAAATTTAATAAATACGTCTTCTAAAGTTTCTTAAATTATTGAGGATACTATTAAATTGTAAGTAAAATAAATAGATGCTAACTCCAGCTTTAAGAATTCTCAATACTAAGGTTACCTTATTTCAATAATATAGCATTTATAATATTCCAAAATACTTTCAGAGATAGAACCTAGATCCAAAATTACTTATTTGAAATGAAAACTGTCCCAATCTATCTAAAGTTCACGTCTTTCCTAAGTTTGGGAGCTTTCTCATAGGAAAATGAGATATGTACCTTTCCATCACAGCCAAGCACTCCTTTCTCCAGGTAAATCGACTCCCTCGTCTTAGTCGGAAGGTCCCAGATGTAGCAGAGACTGGGGGAGGTGTTTGTCTCCATTCAGGGTCCTCTATTGGAATAGGGGCTGGTCTCATACTTAGTGTAGCCCCTGAAATAAACAAGACGTTTTTAGCAAATATCTTGCAAATGTTTCAAACCAATATGACAAATATATCATGAAATCAATAACAATGAATTTGAGAATAAACTTTTGTCTCTCCATTAAAATTGCAGGCAATATAAATATCTGGTATTTATATTATTTTTAAAACAACATTTGACCAAAATAATAAAAACTCTTCCTTAAAAATTTATGATTAGTGATTTTAAAATGTCATTGTTTTTCCTACTTGGTCATCTATCTATTAGTTTCATTTATATTATTTTTGAAACAAAGCACAAAGTTTACTTCATTATGGGAATAGGAGAGTATGGTCTTTGGCTTAGTGACAACTTCATCAGTGTACTTTCCTCTAAAAAATCTCCATTGAAACTCCTACTTGATAGTTATAATCTTTTTGAACAATATACCTTAGGTTCAAATGACTTGGGATTGTACCTTAAATTTAGCTGATGAGTAAATAAAAATTTATATTTTAAAATAAGGACGTGGGAGCTCTTAAAGAGCACATGCAGTTAGGAGATGAATTTAAAATAATCCGAATTGTTGTAAACTTTTTTTTTTTTTTTTTTTTTTTTTTTTTTTTTTTTTTTGAGACAGAGTCTCACTTTGTTGTCCAGGCTAGAGTGAGTGCCGTGGCATCAGCCTAGCTCACAGCAACCTCAAACTCCTGGGCTCGAGTGATCCTTCTGCCTCAGCCTCCCGAGTAGCTGGGACTACAGGCATGCGCCACTATGCCCGGCTAATTTTTTTTTTTATATATATATATCAGTTGGCCAATTAATTTCTTTCTGTTTATAGTAGAGACGGGGTCTTGCTCTTGCTCAGGCTGGTTTTGAACTCCTGACCTTGAGCAATCCGCCCGCCTCAGCCTCCCAAGAGCTAGGATTACAGGCGTGAGCCACAGCGCCCGGCTTGTTGTAAACTTTTTAAATAGTCAAATATAGCATCAAAGAAAGTAAGATGATGTTTGATATGCTTTCAGTCTACTAAATCAAATGTCTATAGGTCTATTACCTGTTGATACTATACTCTGCTACCTCCTAAACATAATAAAATTTCAGTGAACAAAAAGCTATAACTGAGATATTTTACTAATTCAGACTAGCTTTTTCTCAAATAGTTTGAACTGGCAATGATGCATTTACTCACTCATTCACCATTCATCAAACCCCTTTCACGTGGGTTTCTCTAGGCTAAAAGCTAAAAGTAAAACAAGGACAACACTGTCTGTGACCTCCACAGACTTATTTCACAGACCTTAAACATAATTTAGTATGCTTTAATAGAGTTCAGTCTCTGGCTCCTCTATTCTTCTTTCACCTTTTATACTGTTAAATTCATCTTCCCAAAACATAATTATGATCATATCACTCCTCTGATCAAAAATCTTCAAAAAGTTCCCCCGGCCTATGGTTTAATCCAAACTCTTAATATAGCCCTAGAAAGACAGGTTAGAACTTGTGGGGTTTATATACATATTAAAATACATACTAAATATTAATTATTAATAAATATAAACCATATCGTGGTTTTTACCATACCATGCAAGAAATACCACAGATAGTGTTTCTACTGTAATACCTACAGATTTATTGTAGATCCCCTTCTGAATGGCCGTTTTTCTATGTATTCACTTATACAGATGCCTAATATGCTAACTAATTATAATTTTCCTTTCCAAACCTACTGTCCTGCAGTCTTTCCCATTTCAATAAATAGATTCCCATTCTTCATATTGCTCAGCTCAAAAATCTCAGATTCATCTTTAACTGTTCTATTTCTCCCACATACTACATATCCAATCCGTAGGCAAATTCTGTTCATTTTATCTTCAGAATATTTCTAGTAGATGATCAATTTTTATTCCCTGTACTGCTACCACTTTAGAACATGCCAGCATCATCTCTAGCAATCAAGACTTCCTAGGATAGGTTCCAAAGACGGCCCTTCACAATAAATCATACTTCCTGGTAATCATGTCCTTGAAAGAACATGGAAAAATTTCGAGGCTGCTAAGAAGCTTTGCAGCTTTTGCCTAGGTCTCCTAGAATGCTGGTTCTTGGGGAAGCCAGTTGCCATATAAGAAGTCTAACCTGAGACCATAAAGTTGTAGGAAGCCCAAAGTAGCCATGTAGAGAGGCCACAAGGAATGAAAGATGCCCAGTCCCCAGGTGCTCTAGCCAACTCTACCCAGGTGCCAGACATTTGAGCGAAAAAGCCACCTTGGACACTTCAGCCATAGCAGACACCATATAGAACCCAGCTAACAGAGAAACAAGGCCCCAGACAAGTCCCAATAGGGACAGGTGGTAGCCAGCCTCCAAGGTCCCTCAGGATCCCTGCCTCCTGGTATCCACACCTTTGTATAGGCCCTTCCCATACTGCACCATGATTAGTTTGTATGACCAATAACACGTTGTAGTGATGATATGTCACTTCTAGGATTAGATTACAGATGACAATGTGGCATTTGTCTTGGTTGTTCTCTCTCTCGGATCACTCACTCAAGGGAAAACTAGCTGCCATGTGTGAGCACACTCAGGCAGCAGATAGCAAGGCCCATGCCGTGAGGAACTGTGGTCTCTGGCCAACAGGCAGTGGGCAATGAGGGCCTGCCAACATCCACATGAGTGAGCTTGCAAGTGGACCATCCAGTCCTGATGACTGCAGCCCTGGCTGATAGCTGGACTGGAAACTTAGAGCCAGAACCATCCAGCTAAGCTACTTCTGGATTCCTGAGCTACAGAAACTGTGAGATAGTAAATGTTTGTTAAGTTGCTAAATTGTGAATAATTTGTTGTACAAGAATAGATAACTAATACAAATCATCATGATCATCGCAGCTGGTTATTTACCCATATCCCTCAACACACTATCATTATTCAAGTGTATAAATGTGGCGGCAACAATTTTCACTTTAATGTAGAGATTTCACTACAAGTAAGAATGAGTATTGCTTGAGGCCAGGAGTTTAAGACCAGCCTGAGCAACATAGCGAGATCCCATCTCTATAAAAAATTTAAAAATTAGGCAGTGCTGGTACACACCTATAGTCCAGCTATGAACATGCCACTACACTCTGGCCTGGGTGACACAGGTCACCATCTTAAAAAAAATAATCAAAAATGAGCATCTTTTGCTATTTATTGACCATTAAATATCTTTTTTTATGAATTCATATCTTTTGTCCCTTTTTCTTTTGGGTTATTCATCTTACAGTGACTCAGTCACCTTATGGTGAAATCAACTGCTAGTCATATAGATTATAATTTTTTTCCTGTCTATTTGTATTTTATGATATGCTTTGTGATCTTATTTTTAATGTAGTCAAATCTGTCAGTCTTTTCTATTATGGCCAGTGGGTTTGAATATCATTCAGAATATTCTTTATAGTTTTCATTTTGTGTTTCAGCCCTTAATACATATGTTACTTCTTATAGTGCATGATGTAAAGTAATATTTAACTTTTTTTCTCAAGCAGGTGTTTCATCAGACAATGCTTTAGAGATTCATGGCTTAAAACAGAGCTGGCAAACTATGGCCTGCTGCCTATTTTTGTAAATAGAGTTTTACTGAAACCTGGTCATGCCCATTTATTTACATATTGTACACAGCTGTGACTGCACTATAACAGCAGAGTAGCTGTGACACAGATCACATAGCCTGCAAAATCTAAGATATTTACAATCTGGCCCTTTGCAGGAAGAGTTTGCTGACCCTTGGCTTAAAAACATTCTTGGTCTAACCACTGTGAAACTCTAAACTGAATCCCTTCTTTAAACAGTTCAAGAAAAAAGGTTCCATTCTGCCAAAATAACCTGGGAATTCAGTCTGGGCCTAATTCAAAGTTAACAAAGTTTACACATAAGCAGGAATTACGGGGCTGGAAGGGTTTCAAAGTCTTTGCTTTAGTGCTTTTCTGAAAGCAAGCAGGGATTATAGCACAAGAGCTCTGGAATCTACCTAATTAAAACACTACTTTTATTCTACAGCCAGGGTGAAAAGGTCCAAAACAGAGTCTAGTTGCTATCCTCGCTGATGAAGATATAGGTAGAAACAGACTAGTAGATAGGCCAGGCACAATGGCTCACACCTGTAATCCAAACACTTTGTGAGGCCAAAGCGAGAGGATCACTTGAGGCCATGAGTTTAAGACCAGCCTGGACAACATAGTGAGACTCTATGTCTCTACCAAAAAAACAAAAACAAAACAAGAAATAGACTGGGTAAGGGAATAGGTCTTCCTGTCCAAGGCTTGGCTCTGGTAAAGGAAGAGAGTTTCAGAGCGGAGGGTGGAAAATAAGTCAGTGAATTTCAAGCGGTAGGCCACATCTACAACTGTGGCATGTCTCTTAGGTTAGCAGAGTGACAAATGGGTATGAATAGAACAGAACACATAGAATCTTAATTCAATCAAGAGGGTAAAGGAAATAAGTTAACTAATAAGAATGGTTCTTTCTTGGTATTAGAGTTTATTGTTAGTGTTATTATGCTTCTTTATAATATTCTGTATTGAGAGCTGAAGGATATTTAGATGAAATAAAACTGGTCAGGAAGGAAAAAAAGACTGAGAGAGAGAGAAAGGGGGGAAAAGAAGAGAAAGAAGCAAGCAGTGGCCTGGTTACTTTAAAAGAAATCAAGACAGTTCATGCACAAAAGGTGGGAACTGAATAATTTCAAACTTGTATTTTTAAATTATCTCATTTTTAATTTCTTACAAAGCATATTCACAGGATACTCCAAGAATGTCATACAGCAATGGTTTGCTGCTCTTTGTCAAACAGAGTATAAACATACTTGATTTAAAAATATTATCACATTACTTTTGAGATTTTTCTTCTACTCCTTTCTCTTTTTCAATGTAGGAGCTAAAAATAGCCCAAGAAACACTCTGGAAACAGTCTAATAAATACAGATTTGTTCTAGAAACCTAAGTTCACTTTGCTTTGGTTGAAATGGATGAAGAACAAAGAATGAGTTTAAAATTGACTCTAACTGAAAAACACAAAGATACTAAAATGCAGGAACAACATATAGTACATAAGGCTTTAAACTCCACTGAAGTAAAATACAGGCGTTCTGGTTGGCTAAAGGTCCTTACAGGAAAACAGTGTTCCCTATTTCTTTAGGGAAACATTTTTTCCCCACATTTTATCTGGGCTCCTATTAAAACAAATGTTTGCAACTTCACCTAGCAAATCTAAACCCATTAGAAACAAACAAACTAAAAAACCTTTCATAATTTGCTAATAGATTTAAAAATTTTGATGAATGTTCTCTTTGTATATCAGATAATGTTCTTGCTTATCAGGATTAGATCTGGGTGAGCCATTACCAATCAGCTAATAAAAGAATGACTAGAAGCACATAATTACTAAACTACCTTCTCCAAAAGTAATTTCTCATCTTCTCCAGGTTCACAGGCATGTTTCCCAGTGCTCTGACACTCTGCAAGTGAAGGAGTGGGCATTTCTTCTGAACGTTTTTACTTCATGTGCTTGCTGCATAAGCCTCTTGGCAAGCTTCATTTAATTGTTTAATTTAAAAGTATGCAGAATCAATGCTACAGGCCAAGAGGAACCCAGACCACCTGTCTGCTATAGTAATGTTTAAATTAGACAAGGGAAAAAGATTGTTGAGCTTAATTTGATTAAATAAAGGGGCTTTTGCTGTCAACCATGTTGAATTTAGCACTCACCCTCTTTTGAAAAATAGGCATTTTCTCGTAAATGTTTTCATAAGAAACAAGGTAAAATGCATTTGATTAGTTTCTATCAGCCTATTCTATTTATATGCCTTGGCAGGCTTTGGGTTATGCTGGGAAATTCTGATGTTGGGTCTATCAGAAAACTATACTATATCTACTGGATTATCAGTAAAAATAACCTAAATATCCATTCTGTTATTTTTCTTGCTGAGTCCACTTAAAAAGAAACTTAAAAAAAAAAAAACAACCCACAGAACCATATCCAAATGGATCTAGATTGAAGTGGTTGAAAAAGAGAACTTCACTAAAGGTACACAAGGAGAAATGCTCTGAGGTCCAAGCATAGAGGCATAGAATATACAAATATTTTTTTGTTTCTAAATACTTAAATTTACAGAAGAGAAAATGCAGTTTTTAATTTTATGGTATTCCTTAATTTTGCATTTTTTTCCTCAGAATATATGTATAAAGATGATACTATTTATATTTCCCTTAACGAGCCATCCTGGACATAAATTATGAAATACAGTAATCTGTTAATAAAAATCACTGACATCTTATTTTCTACCTAACTGCCTCTCAAAAGCAGCAGGTCTTGACCATATGATCTAGATTCTTAATTTTTAAAAAAATCTTGAAAGCTATTAATAAGGTAGATTAATTTTGGGAGAATCTCTCTCCCTTCCCTTCTACTTCCTTCCTTCCTTCCATTACATTTTATATGTATTTTTCAAATACATATGGTACAAAATTTAGAAAGACACAGGTCATACAGTCAACTCCCTATACCCATACTCCCACTCAGTTCCCCTCCAGAGAGCTGTTCTTACCAGTCCCTAATATGGCCTTCCAGAGATCTTGTGCTTATGCAAGCATATACTTGTGCATGTGCGTGTTCCCTATATAATTAGTAATATACCATATATATTTTTGTACCTTACTTTTTTACTTATGAATTCTGTACCACCCCATATTAATTTAATTATTATAAAGCTGCCTTTAAAAATAGTTATATAGCTAATATCTAAAAATGAAAGCTCTTCTCTGGGGAGAAACTGATTAAGTGTTGGAAAAACTAGTAAGTATTGGAAGAATGATAGATTAGATTATCCTGTTTTGTAATTCCCTTGGAATAATCAATTCAGACAAGGATCATCAATGAATGCTAAAGACCATTGGTAAAATGTTGTTGTATACAGCAAAATGCCTTTTCTTCTTTTTTTTCTTTTTTTTTGCTTTAGTCATAAAGAAGAGGGAATTCATGATTAAATAACTGGTTTGATTTCTCTTTCACTGTACACTGCTTCTGAACATTTAATTGTTTTTATTTGTCTAAATAAAATGCCTCTAAAACAAAAAGAAAACAACAAAAAATAGGTTGTTGCAGAAGATATTCATCAGGTAGCAAAATGTGGCCCTAGAGATTATTTACAAACTGCAAAGAAAAGATCTCATGGCCACCACCTTAACAAAATGAGTAAACTTAGTATATGAATAGTGCTACAACCTGAATTACAGGCCTCCTGATAGGTGGCACTGTGAGGTAAACATTACCTACAAAGTATTTTTCCCCAATATTTTATTATGAAAATTTCCAAACATATAAAAACATTAAAATAATTTTGTAAGTGAAAATCATAATCAGACCATTTAATATTTTATTATGCTTACTTTCTCACATATCTATCCATTTCCCTATATATTCATCAATCAATTCTATTTTTGGAAGCATTTCAAAGTAAACTGATGCTATTCGTACATGCCCCCTTATATAATCTATGAAGTATGCTTGCCAAAAATATTCAAACTGAATCTAATGAAGCCTTTAATCCTACCTTCCACTTTACAGAAAATAGAGAAGATAAAAAAAATAAGTTATTTGACAATAACAATAAATAGAAAAATCCAGAATGTGGGACATTCTGTAAGATTACATGATTTAAAAAGTTTGTATCATGGAAAAAAAAGTTGGGGTGACAGATTTCAGAGTCTAAAGAGACATTCCAAATTGCCAAATTAAAGACACAGTACTTTTAAAAAGAGAGCTACAAAAGATATTCTTGCAATAACTAGAGAAATGTGACTATGGATTGAATATTACATGGTAGTATGAATTATTAATTTTCTTTGGTGTGACAATGGGGACTGTAGTTATGTAGATGATATCTATTCTTAGGAGATGAATGCTGAATGCACATACACAAATCTTAAATTCATTTATTTTATAGAGATAACTCAAATGTAGCAAATATTAACAATTATTGTATGTAAGAAAAGGGTAAACAGTTGTTTACTGTGCTAGTTTTCTCTACATCTGAATTTTCTCCACATTTGAAACACTTCAAAATAGAAACTGGGAGTCAGAATAGATTAAGAAAAATTTTTTGCAGAGAGGTTGATATGGTCTATTCTGTTTCATCCTGCCTGGAACTTTTGGATTGAGAATATGATTTTGGAAAAAAAAAAAAACTTTATCACAGACACACATACAAAAATGTATCTCTATGACACTCTTTATTTCCACCTCAGAGCCAATGCTATTATTACACATTATTTCCACTTGTGACTTAGTCTGTAAGTAAATGCTTTAATGCCGCAGCATTACCAAAGACAGCTCAGTCACAAGCTTACACTTGAGAGCAGGGCACTGCCACTAGACTGTGTAATGCACAGATTGAGACACCCCATCACACAACTTCAGATTTTACTTTATATATCACTTTTTTATAGCATCTTGCAATAAATCTTGCCTATTCTTGCCAATCCTAGACACAAAGGTTTCTATGATCTTTTTCCTTAAAATTTCATTCTGCTTTCCAATCTGCTGCTCCTGGGAGTCATCAGGGCAGCTGCATCCTAGAGTCTAAAGACCCATACATTACCTGGATCATTAGAACTAGAAAAAGAAAATCATTAGCAGAGACCATTGGCTATGGTACAGCATGAACTAAATAAAAATATTAAATTTATGTTACCAATAAAGCAAAATTTGCAAAAAAAAAAAAGATAATGGAGTCTTAAGTATGAACTTATAGCTGAAGAAAACAAAATTAGCCACTGATATTCGTAACCTTTATTTCAAACTATGGCTAGAAATATCATATAGTCTGGAAGCAAAGAGGTTCCTCAGAAGAAGGAGTGAACATGACTAGATAATATTAGATAATAAACTACAAATTATCACAATCAGGGCTTAGGTTTTTGAGTTAAGAGTGGCTTTTATTATATGAAGGCACAATAATAAAGTGTGAAAGTACCTTATTGAACAAGTTAGCACATGGATTCAATAAAGTAATTAATTTCATTTGTCTTGCTTCAGATGCAATAAATAAAAGAAAGTGATATTTACCAGGGTTTGTCTTCTCAAGTTGATACCATCGGTAAAATGCTCTTTTCTTCTGTTCACTCAGGTCTGATCCCTGCTGCAACAGCCAATGAGAGATGCGGCTCTGACTGATACCTGTGTATAAAGAGAAATAGCTTTTGGGGGGCATTGAAAATACAGTGAACTTAATGAGGGTTCTGTTGGTTCTAGGTTATTGGGTGCTTTATTCTCTGTGTCACTCTGCAAGGAAGTTGCAACTTGAGCAAACTCCTTAATGTTGGGCTTCTTTGGAAAGGCTAACTGCACTGGCTAGGATATACTCAGAATTTATCAGAGGTCAAAGAATTTTATTAACCAAGACTTGACAGTGGCCTCTAAAATTAATCTGCAAACCAGGTCCACGAATATGAGATAAATGAAGATTTCTAAGTTATAGCTCTTTGTCAGAATTGATTATATTTGTGCTCCTTTAACTACCAATGCCCTCCAATGCCACCCCAGTTTAGAATATTAGAACATTTAACAGATACTGAGGGAAAAAAAAAACAAGTCAGCAAGTTTTGCTATAGTAAGGGGCTAGGAATAGAAAGGTCATTGAAAATAATGTCTTCAATACGGTTTTTGATTTATTTGTTAATTTATTTAGGCATTTTTAGACCCGTCATACTATTAGTACAAAGAATTAGCAGAGTTTTAGAGTTATATTGCAATATGACCTCTTAAGAAATCTTAACAGCTAAAGACATTTTTCCAACAGATATACTTTCCAAAAAACTGAACAGAATATAAAGCAGTTTTCTGCTATCACTAAGAAGTTCTTGACAGCATTAGAAATGTGAAGAATCTCCACATCTGAACATAAAAGAGCATGTCTAAAACGTTCTAGTATGAGAATGACATTCTCATTGGTCATTATAGCTATTCCAAAAAATGAATGATTCAGTATACAACTGCCAAAAGCAATGAATACAGTAAAGACAAAACTGTCTTGCAAGTCCACAAGGCACTTTGCAAAAGAACATCTAGCCATCATAGAGGATTACCAATATCTAAAATCTCCCAAGGAATTACTTATAGAAACTGGAAATTAAAGAATACCACTTGTGCCAACACCTGTCTAAAGCTGTAATGCTCAACAAGGAAGAATGGCTATCAAGAAGTAATCACATCCCTTCACATGAGAAAAAGCAGGAGGTCCTGCAATCACATTTAACTCATTAAAAGCAAGCCCCTAGAGTTTCACACACTTAAAAATCTTACGTTAAAAGAAAACCTGAAAAAATGGGGAACGGGAGTGTTAAAAGGAAGACTGTGAAGCAAAGTCCTCTGACTGGAAACATCTATCAATTCCAAAAGGTGAAATTCAAACAGTTTTCCAAAACCTAACTGATCACATTCTCAAGTAATTCACATAGCAGTCTTCCAATGGATTGAAGATCTATGTGATGCAGGTGCTGGCATTCTGGATAATTCAATCAGCTGTGTTTAGCAAACATTTCACCAAAAGTCTAGTTTAAGACATTATATTATTTATTATACTACTTTAAAGAGTGAAAAAACAACCATTTACCACAAAGAAATCAAAATTGATTTTCATGTCAAAATAAAACTATTTTACATGGATCATTTATATTGGTACCATATTACTCAAAAAAAAAAAAAAGAACAACAGGGAAATTGAGAAAAATCTGTAAAGAAAAAAAGTAGACATCAGTTCTATCAGTTCTTTTAGTTTGTTCCAATATTAAATTTCCTCATATAGTCAGATCATACATAGAACAAACCACTGAGCCCATCAGATATAAGATCTGTCCAGGTTCTAGCTGTGCTATAATCGGAGAAGAGGGCAAAAGCCCATCAAATGGACATTAGCTAAATTATAGTACATTTACATAACAAAATACTGGCAGACTTTTAAAATTAATGCTTTAAAAAAGTCATCCAAAAAAGCCAACCACAACAAAAAACCAAAACCAAGCAAACACATAAAAAGCCATCAATACCAAGTGTAGGCAAGGACAAGGAGTATACATAACTTTCATATGGCTGATGGAAGGGTAAAATGGCAGGGCCATTCTGAGAAACAGATGGAAAGTACCTACTAAAGCTGAACACATGTATACTCTAGAACCTAGTGATTTCTTTACTAGGCATATAGCCCTCAGAAATATGTATATACTCAATAGAAATGTGTTCAAAAGACATGTATAAGGATCATATGAGCATTATCCATAATAGCCCCCAATTTAAAACAACTAAATGCCCATCAACAGTAGAATGCATAAATTGTGATATCTACACACTCTACTACAGATTATTATACCAAATAGAAAAAGGATTAACTACTGCTATCAGCAACCATATGTATAAATCTCACAAAAATAATGTTGGCTGAAAAAAACTATACACAACTGTATGATTCAATTTATATAAAGTTAAAAAACAGAAACAACTATTCTATATGGAAGGAAATGAGAACAGTGGTCATCCATGTAGAAGGGAAAAGGCTAATGACTGGCAGGTATTAATAGTAAGAAGATTTCCATGGTGACCAGCATTGCTCTTATCTTGATCTGGAGTGTGGTTATATGGGTGTCTTCACTTTTTAAGTCAGTAAGCTGGACACTTTTCTGTGTACATATTTAAATTTTAAGAAGTTTCCCCAAAAATGTTTTTAAAATTCTATGTAGTTTCAAAAAAAATGGATATGTATCAATATGGAAAGATGCCCATGATATAAATGAAAAAGTATATATTTTAATGACTATATTAATATAATATTTAATCTACATTCTGTTTTATATAGTAACAAAAGTTTATATATACCGAAGATAAACAATATGAATTTAGAATGGTAGACTCTTCCAACATTTCTACCTTTACATTAACATTTCTGTAAATATGTATTCATTCACTTTTTGGTTTTCCCCCCTAAATACTTACATACAGTACTTTATTGGTTGTTTTATAAATATTGTAACCCAGTTAAAGAGTTGCAAAGAGAAGTAAATTTCTGCCTTCCCTTACCAATTCTCTGAGATAAGCAATGTTAACTGCTTATACATATGTTGTTTCACAATTTTCTCTGTGCAATTAATAATGTAAAGGGAGAGGAAGGTAATATGTTAATAGAATATTCTCCCACCTCATCTTTTGTGTGAAGAAATAAAGAACTTCTTCCCTATAAATTTAATCTCATTTTTCATATAACAAATGCAGAAAACAAAGTAATAAAGCAGGTAGTATTTCTAGAAGAGGTGTATAAAAAAATAAATATGTAAAACACCACATTTTACAATGATTTCTCTTGCCAGCTTGTTGATGGGTAAGCGTCCTTTAACTCACCCTTCTGGGGCTGGTTTGGAACTTCAGCTGAGCATGGTTTCAAAAGCCCCTGCAGCTCCTCTTTATGTCAGCCTTGATACTTTTCCTCAGGAGAAAATTTCCCTAACTTCCTTGCTACTACTCACTGCAAAAGAGAATGTCATTGTTCACAAGCCGTAGCTCCTCCATAGGCCAGAAGAAAAGAAAAATTTACATATAACACTCATACACTTACAGACTAAAACTAACCCCTGATTGATTTATTTTCAATAAGGAAGTAACCACACTGTATTCAAAGGAAGAAAAAGCCTTTCTTAGTCTCCTTCACATTTTCCAAGCTTCAGCTGTATCAGGCTCTTTGCAGTTCTTCAAATGTCATACTCCCTTCCACTAGAGGGCTCTCTACCATAACCTATCCTTGTCAAAGTCTCCAGTAGCACAAATTTAAATGTTTCATTTTCCTTCCACTTCCTGGAGCGTGACACTACTGACCACTCACATCATCTTCACCCTTGGAATGCTGGCTACAACCCCCAACAACACGTTTTCAGTTGGCTTTGGGGCTGCTTTGCTAACATGTTAGTGGCCCTCAGGGTTCCTTTGGTCATCTCAATTACAAACAACATTGATTTAAAATGTTAATGTCATCTAAATGCCAAAGACTTCCAGGGTACCAGACTGTACTTTCCAACCATCTGCTAAAAAGCTTCAATGAGAATTTCCCACAGGTCCTCAACAGAGTCAACTTAATTCATTATCCTCATCCTTAAATCTGCTCTTCTTACTATATCCTCCATCTCAATTTTACCTTCATTCTACTTTCCCCCACAACTGTCACATGTTTACTAAATCCAGTCACTTTCTCTTGGTAAAAGTCTCTTCATGTTCTCTCCAATCCTCATTCCAGCACTTTAGAATCTCAGCCTTCTTTGCCTGGACAATTGTAGTAACTCTGATAAAAGGAACAAGCCATTTAAGATCCACAAAAAGTACAAAGTCCTCATGATTAGCTCCTTTTTTAAATTATTAGAAGATCACTTCATAGTTGAGAAAAAGTAAAATATCCTTCTTCATGCAATTTTCTACTTAAGAGCTGCTATCATCGCTATGATTGCCTTCCACAATGGAACCAGAATTATGTTTAAAAATTTTTAAGTTAAAACAAATGCATGCATTCTCTATAAAAATTCAATTAATTCACAAACATGGAGAGAGAAAAAAAGTCCTTTCTTCATCCGCACCCCTTCCCTTCTTCCCTATCCTAGAAGTATTCTTGTTTATTAGGATAACTATTAACAGTTGGGTTTTTTAAAACATACATTTGGAGTTACTCTATACATAATAAGTAACTTTATGTGTTAGAATTAGTTCATGTAGGAAATTATAAGTCTTCCTCATTCTAATGGCTTCAAAGGCAACCTATACCATAATTCATTATTATTGGATATTTCAGTTGTTTTATACTATAATACATGGTGATGCAATGATACTCTATCTGTATCTTTGTGCACATGAATACATATTTCTTTAGGGCTGATTCACAGGAATGAAATTTTGATTTGAAGCATATGAGCAGCATTTATGTTAGTGATAGATGTCACTAAATTGTCCCCTAAAGAAGGTTGTACTCAATTTTATAATCTAACCAACAGAGATGAGAATGTTTCCCTATATTCTCACCATTATTGAATATTATGAAACTGTGTTTAGAAGTCTGACTTTTTTTGTGAATATAATACATGTTCATTATACAAAAAGTTCTAAGCAATTTAGAGGAAAGGAAAAATCAAGAGGAAAGCTAATAAAAAACA